CTTACAGTCATTCATGTTCATATAGATTTTTCATCTACAAATTAGGTAATTAGACTGGAACATTTATGTATTGTGTAAGATATAAATTTATTTCATTAAGCATAATTTAAATCTGTAATAAGACAACATCTGCTACAGTTTAAAAGTACCTGTAGTCACCATCATCAACAGGATTACTGTTGCTCTAGAGCTATCAGTGTTTCTAAGTTAAATGTTCATTCTGTGAAAACAGAGCACATTTTACTTTTCTCTTTCCCCTACCGTATCAAACTTAGGACTACGTGCAAAACTGATGCTTTATGCACATCAAATAAATTATGAGTATGTTGGAAGCCCTGGCTGACAGACCTCATCGTTTATAAGGGTAGAAATGTATGCTCAATGGAAAAAGTGTGGGTCCTCTTGAAGAGAAATCCTTGCTTGGGAGCTTACGGGCAATATGATCTCGTTGTGTTACTTAATTTCTCTGAGCTTCTCTAATGAGCTGAGGTGATAGTATCTCGAATTCTTGCAAAGATTAGAGACAATGACTGAGAGTGGCTTGGAATGGGGCTGGCCCAGTCCTGAGTTCTTCATCTGATTCTCACCCTGTAGATGAAGAGAGCAAGGGTCATCGCTGAAGTTGCTCACACACCACCCCACTGCCAGCAGATGCCTGAGCCCAGTTTCAATGCCAGCTTCGTCTGTCTTTAAATACAATACTTAACACCTCCTGTACTGCACTTTTTAAAAATGTCATCCCCAGAGGAGAAAATGAATAAGAGAGGGCAAAAACGACAACTGCAAAACCTGAACAGCGCATGCTACAGTCAGGCGATTTCTATTCTATTCCCTTCATTTTGGGTTTAAAATGCTGATTATAGTAGGGTGGGGAGTTGGCCTTGGGAGTTGGTGTGGGGGGGACATTTACTAATCTTCATTATAGAGGTCCCTCCTCTCTCTGTGGCCTCAGCCTCCTGGTCATGGTCCTCACCCGTGCCCTGCCTTGAGAAGTGCTCGCAGGATTGGGAAGATGAACGTCGGTGAGAGCGCCTGGCTCAGAGGCCAAGGACGACTCCTACTCAACCTCACAAGCTGCTTCAGGAAGCAATAAGACCTCGGGGAGGCGCAATTACTAGACTCACTGACTTTGGGGAAGTGTCAGCGTCCAGAAAATTTAACTCCTGACCCGACGGTGGAATTGACGAATAAAACTGTACCGACCGGGGCTGGGGATTTAGCTCAGCGGCAAAGCGCCTGCCTGGCAAGCGCAAGGTCGTGAGTTCAGTTCCCGGTACCGGAGAAAAACCAAAACCAAACCAAAACAAAACAAAACAAAACTGTACCGACCAACCTGAAACATGAATAGCAACCTACTATATCATATAGAGGGGTGTTGCTAGAACAACATGCAAAGGCAGGAGAAAAGACGTAATCGAAGTAAAAATTCCAGGGACGCTAACCAGTTGAGGTACAGGAGACATGACAGTCTGGACAACCTATATTTACCTAAGAAATAGCTTGAATGTCTTTCACAATTATGATGTATATGTAAATATTATTAAAATTAAATTTCCACTGCATTTGATCATGCTATCCACTAGTGGTATTAATGTAGAACATTTCTCCACTCGGATTAAGTGCATGGGGGCAGGGGCAGGCCTTTTTTGCAGATGTGTTTGTTCTCATTGAAAATATTTTAAGCCCTGTAAGCTTTACAAAAAATGAAATGCTGACAGTAAATGCACTTGTATTGCTACTAATTTTTGTTCTGCTAAATT